TGGCATGTGGGATCTTTCCAGACTGGGGCACGAACCCGCGTCCCCTGCATCAACAGGCGGACTCTCAACCACTGCGCCACCAGGGAAGCCCAACCTCACTAGAATTTATCTTGACGGAAGAAGCAACACAATCTCATCCCAAAAGGGCAGCCGGCTAAGCTGAGGCCATTCACCGAGTGTCACCACCCCCGCCAGGAGGGGTGGTGTCTTCCTTGGCCAGGGTCCTTCCTCTCTAGGGGGCCTCCCAGCACCGGGCGCTGTGCGGGACAGAGCAGCAGCAGACACGAACCTCACTTCTGAGTCCTACAGGGTCTCTGGCTGTGGGCCCGAGAGACCACAGCTGACCCTCGCACAGTAACTGGTGAGTGCCCTGGGGTGAGTGACAGCACTGCGTCTCCCGGCTGCAGATGGGCTCCTGAGCCCTGAGCAGAGGGTCGTCATGGCACACAACTGGGCAACACCTGAGAGGGCCCGGCATGCTGCCTGTGATGAAACAGACCAGGCCAGGGCCCCGGCCCCCACATGCAGGCCCTAAGGGGCCAGCCGGGCCTTTCTGTCACTACCCAACTCAGGAACAACCCCACAGCACGCCCTTTGGTGACTGTTCCACTTTTTCTTGGGCGTCATGGACTCATCTTCTACCCTCACAGCACTGGCTGCGCCGGTCACTGAGCACGTCCCCCAGGAGCCTGCATGGCCCCCAGGGCCCAGTGTGAGTCCACAGGCGGTGGCTCCACTCCCACCCCGACACAGTCTCCCCCTTCAGACTCTCGCTGTCTGATCTTCCCTTCACTATGTACCCATTGCTGTCGTAAGGCTGCTCGTGAAATTGACAAAACAGTAAAACTTTTAATTTTTTCTCTGTCAGCAAAAAACTTGGACAATAAAGAACGTAGTTCACGAGCGCAAGGCCAGAAGCGACTGCTGCCAGTGTTACAGGACAAACACAAATAATCAGACCTGGTCATTGAAAACCATCTCTCATGAGGCCCTGAGGCCTCCGCGGGCGGAGGTAGGCCAGCTCTGAGTCTGTGAGTGTCTGTCCCACAAGCTCCGCAGCCCAGCTCTGCACAGCCAGCCCCTGTGTCTCAGGACGCCCACGCCTCCTGCCTGGTCCTCAAGAGGCGGGGAGAGGGCCCAAGGCTGGCTGCTCTCCAGGCCGAGCGCCACGTGGGGCTGGGCGGGCAGTGGGGCCACTAGGAGGATGCGGGGAGGACAGCAAGAGGAGCACGCCGCAGCAGTGCGTGCCGCCCCGCCGCCGCACGCGCCTCGAGTCACGCGGCCAGCGGCCCCGCCCGCCGCAGCCTTGCACGCGCCGCACTCACTTCACGCTCTCCTCGTGCTCCCCGAACTCCTCGTCGTTGAAGCCAAAGTGGTCGATGAAGGCTGAAGTCATGCGCTGCATCTGGAAGTCCATGAAGGCCTGCCAGGGTGCGGGCGGCAGTCAGGGCCGGGTGTCCACAACAGCCTCCCCGCCCCGCCCCCCCCCCCCCCCCCC